TTGAAACGAAATATAAAACAGTTCACATTATAAACTTTGTTTTCACTGTGACTTCACTCGCATAAAATATTTAATTATTTTACATCTCGGAAATATTCATTTTTGATTTGTCATGTTCTTAACTTCACAATATGCTAATATTGGTTACGTTACGGCGCACAGTTAAGGCGTAACGAACATACAAACACACTTTCGCTTCAACAATATTATACATGTAAAATAAATATTAACATAATTTTTCTGTATAATTTCAAAAGATATTTATTCTATACTTAGTAGGCAAACAAACTAGCGGCTACCTAGATAATATCCTATCTATGCTTCTAATAACTTATATAACTTTATGTAATCCATTAATTACGTGACTCAAAATTCCTATATATCATTTAAACATTTTTCACACCTAAATAATACATCTCAATGAGTGTCACAATAATTTTTTCCATTGTCATAGCTGTCAAAATATTTCAAAGCGTCCAATAGCTATGTATAATTTCTTGGCGTCGTTATAACCACGCCTCTTGAAGTCGCATGCGCATGACTCACTGACAAATTACTAGTATAGAAGCATTTCCACTAGACTGGCAGACACGACTGAAATAGCACACTCTAAATATGTCATTCAGGTGATGCAAAGAATCTTGATTGCTCTGACAGGGTATTAGAACACAATTAGTGAGAATCGTTCGTCTTAGTGGTGATAAAAAGTTAATCCTTGTAATTGAAACAAATCATTTGTTAGCTATTTTTTATCGTCTTCATTGTGTTCGTGGCGGTTTTTTGAATGTATTCTTTAGTGGACAAAATTTTTCGATTTTAACGTAAATAATTTCATAATTTAAAAGCATGTCTTTTCGTGTATAATACATTTAACTATTTTGATATTGTTCTAATAAAATCGTACTTAATAACACGTATGGACTATGTTATAAATCATTATATTATATTAAAGGAATTAAGATTTTATGTATACTATAATATGTATATGTATGTATATGTATATGGTTTCATTTAAAATGTTGCTTCACTTTAAATTTCTTTTACATGTAATATTAAACTCTATATTTGAATGTAGGGTTTTTCGGTTAAAAAAAATTTGGCTTGTGCATAAATTCAAATATATCGATAAATAGAATAAAAATTACGTCTCAACTACCAAAACTGAAATAGATTAAATGTTTTTAGGTCGTCACTTTAAGCGGTACACGGCAACTTAGCCCCTAAATTTCCGGTTATTAAAATAACGAATTTTTTTTCGTCACAAAGACATTGAATCCTTTTAAATATCTTATAAGAATTTATTTATATTAAAGAAAAAACACATATTAAATCTAGTTACGTGATGTATATTATACGAATTTGTTTTCTTGTTTGATTATTATTTAAATATGCACAGTCCCTTGTATCTATAAATTTTATATACAACATCATATTAATATTTTAAATTATCACCGCCTTATCAACACGTCATACCTATCTTGTTTGTATTTTTTGCATTTCTATTATAAATTTATGCAAACATTCACTTATCGCTATCGGTTCGATGTAACGGTAAAAAGTTTAAATATAAACCTGTTTGAGCCGCATAAAATTGAAGATAAAATGATGTGAGTCAACAAAAATTCTTTATTTTAATACTAATTCCGTAATATTGATATTCATTATAAAATACGACTCGGAAACTTCGGAAGTAATCTTTAGACAACCCGGCATTGTTCGTTGGGTACAAAATTAGTAAATTTTCCCGCCGATAGCAGCTCTAATGATCGGCTATGTCAATCACTATAATTGACAGTCCGACATTTAGCTATTTTTGGTTTCTAAAGAAATGGAATCTAAAAAACAAGCTTAGCTGTGCGAAGCGTCACTTTAAAATTATTGTCAGTGTTGTCACCTGTCAATACAGTAACCTCAAACATCATATCAACAATAAAACGTGGATAGCATCACCAGATAGACGTTCGACATTCCATATCAATCGCTATTGTTTTCGTCACATAATGTTAAATCGGTATAAAACCAAACCGTATACGTATAGCAAAACATGACAGAGGATTCTGATAAAACACGGCCATTTTAATAGTTGTGTGTGTAGTGTTGAATAATAAATACATACCCGCTCTACCTCAAGATCGGTACTCGCGCATAGTCTTTTGCCTCCACCACCGTTGTATGCCATTGTACACCACAATACAAACACAAATCACACCGAAACGCGTTAAGCATAAATCGAACACGAATACACCTCCACGGTCAGAGGTTGGGAGCAGACTGAAAGAGTGAATGCCGAATGAATTCAAACACTCTGGAATGAACGAAGACCGACTCGGCGCGAAGGGTTCATCCATAGACAATGTTTTGATGTTTTCACTGTTGCTATGTTGGTAATGATATCAAAAATATTACTACACAATACCATAGAAAACAAAATATTAGTTTTTCTTATGAGTTTGTATTATAAAAGCCTTTTGAGAGCTTTTTATTCTTAAATAATAATATTTAATATGTAGGAATTAAAAGACTTACAATTCTATCAAATCTATTATTTTACTCTCTCGTATAACTATTCTTATATCTGTATTACAAACGATTCCTATTCAGACACTGTCAAATATAAAAGTGTTTTGTTGTCATAACACTTTATTCCTGACTCAAGTAACCTTAAATATTTTCTTATAAAAAAATAATTAAGATTTAAATAAATTATGTATTAAGTTTTATGAATCCTGTGTGTATGTGTGATTATATGTGAGCAACACTATCTAAAATATATTATGGATTAATGTTTTTTAATATATGAATACAATTCCGTGTTTCTAATTTATATATTTTTAAGTATGGTTGAGGAAGTTGAAATAAAGATAGAATATTTCGATACAAACGAAACCGACCCATTGAAGGAATACCAAAATCAAGAATCCAAAATAAATTACGTGTTACAAAACGACGAGGTAATTTATTTGATAATAAAATCATTTACCGGAAATCTGCAAGTATAAATGTATCTCATGCAAAACTGACTATAATTTTATGTAAAAATATAATGATCACCTGTAATTTTTTTTATTATTTTGAAATAGCTAGGTATGTACCTATATTTAAACATTGACAGATTTGAGACAATTATAAATTTGTGGAATAATGCTGATTAATGTGCTCATTTAATTCTAAATTTTTATTAAAGATTTGACTGACAATTATCAAGACTATCAGTCAGCTAACTGATGGGTTCATTTAAAATCTTTTTTTTTCTATTGCATGGGAAATGTTGCATGCACACTCTCTTTCTGGGAGAGAAAGAAAACAAGGAGAGTTATGTCAGACTCTCATCCCGAAAAGTACACAATACTAACTTAAACTCCACTAAACCACTCGCCACTGTTCTGCTAAGCCATAGGGTCTTTCAAAACACCATCAGCATCTCAAACAACTACTAAAAGCACTAAAAAAGTATTATAAAAACCTATTTATGTATTCTTAATACTATGGATATTCTTTGAATATTTTTTTTATATATTTTTTTGTTTATTTTAGAATTCTACAAAGCTGTCCTACATTCTGAAGGAAACATATGAAGATAATTTAAACACACAATTACAGCCGAGTACTAAATTTCAAGATGTAAGTAACAAAGTTTAATTGATATATGTGATATTTGTAGAATACTGTTGTTACAAGACAAATCCTAAAATTGGTATGTTTCATAATTTTGCAAAACAACCATTTAGATGAACATATTATTATATATTTTCAACCAAACCTCTTAAATCAATAATTTATATATGACAACCTGTACTGCTTTTAATTAGATTATAGCAGATAATGATTTATCAAATTGTTTTATTTTGACAATGATATAAAAATACACAAACAAAGTTGTAATAAACACATAATTATTTATAGATAAAAAAATATATTACAATATATGTAATACTTTAGGCAGACCCTGGCTAAAGCTGGGACATTGCCAGGAAGAAGATATGTAATACTTTTATTTAAATGAGATCTGGTTACTTTTTGATATAATAACCAATAACCAATGTAAACGAAGTTTAAAATATAAGCTGTATTTATAAATGTGTTATTTAAATAATTTTATGTTGCAGAAATCAAAAACAACATGGCAAAACTCAATAGACAGCAACGGTAGACTTCTTTGTAAATTTTGCGATTTAAAATATTCAACGACACAAACATTACGACATCACATAAAAATGAAGCATCCTAACTTGGAAAATACTCTTAAAAGATATATATTGAATAATAAACGAAATTGTAAACATATATGTCATATATGTAAAAAAAAATTCAGTAATGTCGACGAATTAAGGAAACATGTTAATTATAGTCATGCCATCGATATTATAGCATTGTCATGTATTTATTGCGATGCAACTTTCAATAGTAGCAATCAATTAACAGATCATATGTATTTGATACATAATAAAGTATGTAAAGTATTCACTTGTGATGTATGCGGTTATCGAACTATAAAGAAATCGCATTTCATTAAACACTCTACAACTCATGATACGGAAAAGAAAATTTCTTGTAAATATTGCGATTATATTACAAATAATTTATCAAATTTGAAAGTACATGAGCATATTCACACAAATAAAAAACCGTATATTTGTGATTATAATAACTGTAAGTATGAAAGTTCTTCCAGTTCGGGATTGAGAAGCCATCGTTTAAAACATTATCGGGAATCAAATATGTTATATTGTGATCAATGTAGCTATACAACAGTTTATAAGAATTCATTGAACAGACATTTAGATAGTCACAAAAGATCTAGTATAAGAGAACCATTATGAAAAAACATTTACTTATATATAATATTTATTTACATTAAACTAATATTTAACTATATAAATACATATTGTACTGCAATTTAGTTTCATTTATTCCATTTATGATAACAGATCTAAAACAGTGAAGCAACAACCATAAATTTCTTTTTTTTTTCATGTACTTAGTAATACTTTTTTGTTTTATTAATGTGGTGTAGGCTTGTGGCCATCTACATAGAAATTTCTAGTTGCTTTTGGTAATTTCAATTCCATTCCCTCCATTTCTTTTGTCAAAACAATTTGACAACCTGAAAATAATATCAAGAAAGAGTTTTTATATACAATATACTCTTCAACATAATGAATTAGAAAAAACTGGTTTTGGTAATGAAATAGTTTTAATTATTACAATTTTAAATCTATATACTAAATATTAATATATACTTATTAAGCAAGGCTATTTAAGAGTGATAATTTTTTTGATAATAATTGAAGTTAATGAACTTGTTTTGCTATCTCCTATAAAAACAGGTCAAATATTTACCTAGTCGTGAATTTTCCTTTAAAAATGGCGCCATATCTAATAAATCATCTTCTTTTTCTTCAGGTTCTGGTAGTGTATCTAAATATTTCTCGTGTACATACACATGACATGTTGTACATGCTAGCGATGCCTCACAAGCACCTGGCAATAAGCACCTTATTTTATACACAATAGTTTTAATATATTCAAAGCTTCTACAGTAATTATTTAGAATTATTTTTATATAATTTTTTCAATGCAAATGTCAATCAGTAAGAAAATTTTAAGATTTAAGTAAGTCTAATTATATACCAATATAACTTTATTTTTTGTTTACAAGTAGGAAGTGAATGGTTTAGCTTGTACATTAATTCAGAAGAAAGTTTAACTGTTAAGTAAGGAACATCTTCAAAATGTTCACTTAAAAGTGACAAAAATCATATTATAATTATATATAAAGTTATCACTTATCATATGTTTTTAAATAAACTTCCTCAATTTTTCATACTAGAATACATACCTTCCATTTCAATTCCATATCTATGTGCTAGATATAGCACATTGTCTCCAATTTTCCCTCTCACATTTGTTTTCTTTCCATCCTTATCAATATATACAACATTAACTCTGAGAAAAAATACATCACTTTAAAGAATATTCATATAAGATTTCAAAAAACGTATTTAAAAATAATAAATATTTCATACATGTGACAATTTAACTATAATGGGAGACCAGTCTAATTATGCTAACATATTGATACATAATTTAATGTTTAAACTAAACAGAATAGATATATATTTATTTAAATATTATTAACTCACACTTCGTCCTCCGATTTTGGATCTTGCCACTCATATTCTCCGTGCCTTAAACCTAAAAGATTATTGTTTACAATGAGAAACATATAATATTTAAATAACTTAAAAATAAAGATAACAAATCACCTGAGGTTATACTGAAAAATCTTTGTCGGGATAAAGGTAAAGCTTTAAAAGATCTCTTAGTACCATTTGATCGAAGAAATTTTAGAGTACGAAACATTTTTACAAATAACTAATAATAGTCATACTTAATCTAAACAATAAAATATATTTCGCGACTATTTTATTTTTAAGGTTAGGACCTAGCAATAACACAATCAACAATGAACTCTCTGTTAAACTTAAAGAAGTTAGAACTTCCTAGTGATAAGAAATTTAACATTGACATGTTATGACATTATCAATATTACATAAAACTATTTTATATACAATTTTGTAAAGCCATACTTTTATTTACCATATTTTTATATTTCTATGTTTAGATATAACGTTCTTGTATTTAATAATAATTTATATCTTTAATTATATCTATTCATGTGTTTTAAATTAATTGTCTAAATAAGTTATTGTAAAAAAAAACAGCAACACTTAATTATATGTCACACATTCTTAAATAACGTCTATAATCACAACCATATTGTCCATTTTTTATAATGATTTAAAATATAATAGTTATTGATTTTTTCATCAAATGGGTAAAGGCTATTATATGATTCCAATATGAATCTTATTTAATGTAATATTAATGAACTACGGCCATTGTATCTTATGTTGTGAATTTCGGTGATAGAATATACTTAAGGTAAGTTTTACGACCAAATGACGTGTATTTTGCAATATCACAAATATGAAGGACTCCGTTTTTGTCATCTCTATAGCGAATTTATAAAAAATCGCTATTATTGTGCTCAAGTCATTAGAAGCAAATAATTAGCGAAGTTGTTGACATTAGTGTATAACCATACATGTATATTTTTAAATATGTTATTCTAATTTCTTTTTGTTGTGGTTTAATATCTTATCTATTATTACTTATTAAAGATTGCCGGAAAATCGGCGTTTACTGTTATATAGAATGTTATAAGTTTTAATAATGTTTAGTATTACATTAAATTGTATATTTTCGTAGAAAATGTACAAATAAACCGACAAGAAATGTAATGCAACATTCTAATAAGAAAGTTAATCTAACTTGATGAAAGTAAACCACAGAGATTGCCTACCATTTTACTATTTACCATTGCCTAATTCCAATAATATTTTAATGCCTCTACATATATTTTATTACAAAATTATTATGAAATATTTCTTTTTAATTTCAGATTAGGCTAAGCTAAATAATGTCAATATTAGAAGATAGAGTTGATGTCAAAGACATCAAGGTTGAAAGGATCGAGGAAGATCGTAAAGATCCGACTACCTTCCTACCAGAAGAACCAATGACATATGAAATAAAAACTAAAAAGAAAAAAAGGAAAAAAATACAAGAAGATCCCTTTAAAGATATAGAAGAAAAGATACCGTTAACAACGGTAACCGTGTATGATCCGATTACAGAAGTTAATACAGAAACGATATTAGATCCAGAAGTCAATATAAAGGTTGAAAATATAGAAGTTGAATTAGATTTTAACGATGTGAGTTTGATATGAATTAATATGTAATAAAAATGAGAGAAAAATATTGAGCAAGTATGTTATGCTTATAGTGGCATTATTTGAACATTCAGTAGAATATAGAATAAATGTCTATATATTTAGCTTTGCCCACGTGACGTTCGGTTATATCCCGTTTCCAAGAGAACCTTTCAAAATTCTGGGATAAAAACTATAATATGTTCTCTCTCAAGGTCAACTTTGTCTGTATCAAATTTCATTAAAATCAGTTCAGTGGTTTAGGCGTGAAAGCGTAACAGACAGACAGATTGAGTTACTTTCACATTTATAATATTAGTAAGGATATACTTTATATGCAAAATGCATTATTGAACCATGTACAAAATTTTAACATTATCAAAAAATATATATCTTAATATATACTAAAAATAAAGAAATAGAAAATACTTAAAAAATAACAGTCTGGGAATTAATTCTCAACGAGAATTATATTGTATTGTAGTTAATTATGTTGATAGTGATTTATTGTGTTAATTATTAAAGTATTTTATTTTTCTATTTCAGTTTGCTAATGATAATGGTTTAATGGTAGAGGGACCTCAAAGTGAGGATAGTCAAGAGCCCGCTGTGAAAATTGAGGACCAAAATCACGAGGCCGTATTATTGACCTTCGAAAGTATAATCCACGACAAAAATGTTCTAGGATTTAGCCCAGCGACCGCGCCAGCGACGAATTACGTCTGCAAGATATGTCATCTAGTCTTTCAATCCCCAAAAACCCTTAGAATGCATCAGAAAAGAAAACACAAAGTGTTCCGCAAATCATTTAAGCATGTATGCGATTATTGCGGTATGTCCTATGAACAGAAGAACAGTCTAGTTGCTCATATTAAAAGGAAACATGGACCAAATTCTGTTCCCGACGATGGTGAAGAACGAACGTGTGACGTTTGTGCGCTAGTTTTCAAAGGCATGACGCGATTGAGAATGCATATGAGACGAAAACATGGCTCCTTTGAAGAATCCTTCAAACATGTCTGCCAGGAATGTGGACTTACGTACGACAAGTATAGAAGTCTCATCGTGCATATACAACGGAAACACACAAACGATAAAAAACCCGTAATGGATACGTGGTACAACTGCCCATTTTGTCCAAAAGTTTTCACGAAAAGGGAAACATACGCTAGACATGTCCAAAGAAAACACAGAATCAGCGACGAAGATGAAATGAAACACGAAAATCGTGATCTAGAAAATTATAAGAACGAAGCTACTGGGGAAGTTACTTGTAAAGAATGTCCATTAGTGTTTTCATCGATGACATTTCTGAAACTACACATGAGAAGGAAACACAACGCTTTGAAAGAAGACTTTAGATTAAAATGCAAGATATGTAACTTGTCTTACGACAAAATAGAAAGCTTAAAACGTCACATACGAAGGAAACACGATAAGAACTCATATTGTGACGTCTGCGATAAACAGTTTGAGAGTAGAGAAGTTTACCTCACTCACACGCACAAAAGGATAGTCCAAGAATGTACTGTTTGCAATTTAATATTCGCAACGCATCGCGGTCTCTGTAAACATTTACGGACTACCCACAAAGTGGAACTGCCCAAGACTGTGTTCTGTGATCTATGCAACGAAAGTTTCCACGACAAACGACAACTCAAACCTCATTATATGAAAGTACATTTAAAAGCTTCGTACACATGCATCTTCTGTAAGAAGATATTCAAAGCGAAAGAGAGTTATCGTCGACACGTACTTCTAAAGCATCCGGTTGACGAAAAAACATGTTCGCAGAAATGCGATCAATGCACAGAGAGTTTTGCTGACGAATTCGAATTATGCAAACATATTAACATGGCGCACAGACAGGAAAATTCCGAAATAGGCCCATTAACTTTGATAGACATCAAAAAAGAAGAAGTTGACATACCAGAAACCTTCCATTGCACAAAATGTTCTAACACATACAAAAACTGGAATGATTTAAAATCTCATTACGAACAGAGTCACATATCCGTGACAGAAACCCAGTGTCAAATATGCGGGGAATTGGTGCCGGGGAACGAATTACAGAAGCACATTAAAACTACCCACACAGACACATCAGTGAGATGCAAGTACTGCGAATTCGTTACAAACAATCGAGCTAGCATGACACAACATATGCTACGACATAAAAATGCTACCACAATACACTGTGATTACAACAATTGTAAATATAAAACTTTCTACGAGGGTGCAATGGAGAAACATAAGCGTAGGCATAGAGATCAGGGCGTTAAACTGCAATGTTCTCAATGTCCTTTCCAAACTATGGGCAAATATATATTGAAGTACCACGAGGAAGCTCATAGTACAGGCAAAAAACGATATTCTTGCGACCAATGTGATTACGCCACTATATTGCCGGCTAATCTAGTGCAGCACAGATACAAACATTCCTCGGAGAAAAGATTCAAGTGTGAAGTCTGCCCTTTCGCTACAAAGTACAATACGTCGTTGCGTTTCCACGTTAAAAAGAAACATTGTGATCTCCCGACATTCAGTTAATGTTAAAGTTTTTTAAAAATTTTAAAATATTTTTTGGTGTTATGTCTTTTTAAATTGATTTATTAAAAGTCTTTTACATTTTAATGTGTGTTACTTACACGCGTGTTTTAATTTTATTGCAAAATGTTCTGCTGACATCAACATATAAAAAAAATCGTCACAAAGTTTAAACAAGACTTAAGTCCTTAAATTTGATTTTTAATAGACCAAGTTATAAAATTTATAAAATTTTCATTTTATCTACACATTATTCTACTGTCTACAAACTTTTAACAAGAATGTTATTGAATACTGAAAACAGAATTAGGCATGTAAAACGATAATCTCCCAAAGTTTATTAACGAGATTTTAGTAATAATGAACTTAATATTTCATTAATAACAAATTTAGTTTTTTCAATAATTTTAACTGATACTGATCTAAAAATGGACAGTTATTTATTTTAAATACACTGTTTTCTACAGGCAAACACCCGGAAACTACAGATCTGCCAGGATCGAGATGCGGTCATCTTGATTTAGGTAAAAATCTGAATGCCAGTTTTCTCTTTACCATAGGATAAATTACGGTATAGTACGTAGTGACTTTGGGACAGAAAGCCATGTTTATCGCTTAAACCTATCCGGTTCTATGTTTGTGACCTGACTAGAGTACTTTAAGTTATCAATTCTACCTTAGCACGAGGACCTCACGAAGAAGGAAGTGTTGTTTTATTATTATTACTAGTTATAATTCACTTTTAATTCATTAATTATTATAAGATAAAACATTAATAACAATCTTGACCATTTTATACACATCTGGTAACTCCAAGCGACTGTCATTTGTCAAAATTTAATGTTGACAAGACATTAGATTTTTCTACACGCCCAAGCATCAACATTTATTTATTCGTTTACACCAATCGTTCGTCATATGTGCCAGAAGAGGATATAAAACGTGTGACTAATATTCGGGTAGTCTTGATATTCCACAAACGTTTTGTAAAGAAACATCGCGAAAACAAAGAAGAAAACTATATTTAAACTTCGTTATTACAAGACTTCATGACTAAAAACTGTTGTAAAAGTTTAAATTCCATTGTCATTTACAGTGGACGTATGTGGTAGTGTAAATTACAGTGGCGGAAGACCGATTTTGGTTTCAAAATGACCTTACTGAGTCTACCAGTACTTGTTATTGAAAATATATTCTCTTATTTAACTTACGATGAAATAGCTAAAAACAGATTGGTAAGTATAAATATACTTGACACAAACAAACAAACGTACGCGTCGATAGTGTTCTATAAATATTCATTCTAGAAGAGACGTTAACTAATGATAGTATATTACAAAGGCAAAACATAATTTATTGCTTCACAAATAATGAAATATAATACCATATACATAAAGTGCATGCATGTTGATTTATGTCTTGATGTATAAATATTATATTTCTTAACTGTATGCCTTATATTATATGAAGTTATATAATAATTGAAACAAAAGAATACTTTTTAAACACTTTGGTAACATTAAAAAAAAATATGGTATTTCGTAAATAATATTTATCTTAAATTTATTAATTTATCTAAGTTCAACAAAAAATCCCTATAATATTTTAGATCTCGATAATTTCTTATTTCTTTTCCTTTATATCAAGGTATCGAGAGCATTCAATGAAATATGTATGCGTCTGTTGAACCGAGGATTCCTCGTTATAGAAAGACGTCATGCATTAGCTCTGAAGAGTGTGAAAGCTCAACTGCCGAGAAGGGAATCAGAACGGAGGTAAAAATATACTGGATATACATATAATTAATATTTGTAACTATTACTTGTTGATCTATTCATATAGTTTTTATTATCTTTTTGTAATATATGTAATATTCAATTATATGTAAATCGGGTGAATTATATGTTTTATAAAATATTGTTTGTGTTATAACATATATATATAACAACATAAAACGATTCTAGGAGGTTCTGACCACAAATATCTCATAATAGATATGTGTCTTTTAACAGATATAGTATAAAGTATGATGATAACTACTATATGTTTCATGGTTAATATTACATCATCATAACAATATAATAGGAAATATGAATAAAATATATAACATATATGTTTAGTATACATGTGTATAATTGATAAAGTTATGTATTACGATGCATTATGTCACTATATATGTACTAATAGACACTCAAGGTAATTCTAGTATATTCTGTACAGTGTATATAGATTATAGAACATGCTAGAATAACAATCTCAAGTTTTAACATAAACAAATGATATATACATATGCACACACACATATATAGGTAGTGTTATAACATATTATAAATACATTTTTATATAATTTTTCCTCCAATACTTCTATATTCTAAAATAGTTTTAAATAGGAGATGGCACATTTATATAAAAAGTTTATAGGTATAGCTATTTGAATATATTACCTGTCACTTATTATATGTCTATATTTTTTATTATATTTTAATATATTTATTATAGATGCTGTTGATAATGTTCTACTTTTAGTTAGTGAAAAATAAAGAGTCTTCATAAATACAACTATTCTCAATTTAATAACCATAGTTAAACATTAACATCAGATATCAAGTAGAAGCTTTGAATCCATCAATATGTATTTAAATTTTGTCTACTTCTTAGTAAAATTTTGAAATGAAACTGCATATTAAATCTTTTTATGACTTAAATGTTAAACATTCTTTATCATCTGATTGAATTAGACATAAAAATAGAGGTCAAATAAAAAATACAGGAAAGTCAAATATTAGTGAAGTACTCTTCTGTACATTGCTAACGGATTTTCGTAGCCGATTATCGCATATTAAAATAAAATATGGTTTTTGCATTTGGGATAAATAGATAAACTTTTGAAAAATATAAAACGCGCCGAGTACACAACTTGGGGTGGCGTGGAAATGTGTGCATATCACTTATGAATTAAAATTTGACTTAGAATCGCGATATTTTGCCAACGGTAACTCCTAGGGAGAAAATTATAAGGACCATTATTGTAGAGAATTTTAAGGTCTACAACTTTGGTTTGAGATATTTTTTGATAAAACTTAACATTTTCGAAAAAAATCTAAAAAGCTTCAAAATTTGATCTTTGACCGTGATTAATTTTTGTAGCACACATAAGATCGATGAGGACTTATAAAAGTTTTTTGCAAATGTATACCTCAGCTTTCCACCAATATCAGATTTTCCGAGAATTTTTGTTATTTGACTATAGTCCGTTAGACATAAGCTGAGATTTGCATTTGTGTGTGACAGTAAAAGTAGAGTTAGACAAACAACTTTTAGAATTCAATTTTATTATATTAAATAGATACATAACGTAAGTGCGATAGCTATTCTAGATTAAAAATAAAATAAGCAAAACTTGTAAAAGGCTAGATGAAAATATTACGGAAAAAAATTATTAACCAATAATAATTTTGAAAAAACTATACGAATTCTTTTTCACTTGACATTGCGTTTTCAACATTTGAAGTTGCTACCAGTACAAAGGGTGAAGTGCGAAAGGAGCGGGGCGGAGTAAAAGCAGAATAAACCGGTTAAAAACTAGAAAAGAACGTTTCATTCAAAAATTTGACATCACACCTACACTATCCGTGTGCACTCACACAAATGCAAAGCTCAATTTTTATGTCTAAATTGACCGGATTAATAGCATCTTGTTTATTATTTGATTCTTAGATCAAATCATTTATACTTAATCGTTGGTCTAAAAAATTAAAAACAATTAAGGTTTGTTGTTTAAATAGTGAGATGAGTTCATTGACCTCTATCACTAATGGTTATATACTATACAGGTAAGCTGTAATGTGATTCCTACTTATAATGAAACTTGTGCAATAATGTAGATGTTCTTTGCACGATCATGCAAAATCCACCAAGATTTTGATGAACTGTCTTGTAGTTTAGACATTTAAATGAAACTAATATTTTTCGGATTATACAAAGCGACTTTATTTTTTTTAACTACATATTCCCGAAGTTTCGGCTACTTTTCAGCAACCGTGATCACGGGCAGACGAGATTCAACATCTCGGAAAAGTAGCCGAAACGAAAGCAAAAACTCTTAAATCTCACTGTAGTTCAGACTTCAGAATAACATATGGTCTATAATTTATCCCAAATTACAAAATCGGCGCGGACAAAGTGGGGGTTAAATACTAGTTAATATTTAATGATGATTTATCCTTTTTTCAGATATCACCCTCTGGCCCGACACTGTGATATACTCACATCAATAGAGACTCGTATATCGATGTTGAACATGACGTACTCCAAATTCATTGACATCGGAATATGTTGCTTTATACCGGGACGGGTAAATATGTATTTTGTATACGAATAGTATAGATTTATAACACACACACATTTATATAGGGTAAATGTGGGATAGTTGCCGCACTTTTTGAAATAGGCAAATAAGTGATAGAATATGAGTTTTCATAAAAATTTAATGATTGTGATGTGTTGTGTACTTATTAATGAAATACTTAATTAAAGTAATTTAACATTAATAGTTGTATTTTTTTTGGTACAAAAGAAATAAAAAAGTATTATAATCGGGGATAGATGCCTAAAGTGTGGGTTAGATGCCATAATGATGATTTGGCTTGTGGGATAGATGCCCTATGCAAATAATTAAAGATTATCTTAGATTTATTTATTTTTAATCAACAACTGTTACATTTTCATTTATAAGCATAATCATCTTTGGTTTAATATTGAAATTGAGATCAATTTTAGTATCTAATAATACAATATTAGTATAAACATTGAAAGTGGCAACTTCTGATACGTTTTAAATTTTAAATTTTTTCATTTTTTTCAAGGCGCAATTTTAATCGATTGCAAGGATTACAGTAATTACCGTACATGGTACAAGTTTCATGCAACCATTTTTTACACATGATGCACTGGATCCAGTCTGCCGTTGATTTTGTTTCCTCATAATTTTCAAAACATTCCAGACATTCATTTGACGAATTTTCATTAGAGTCCGACTCAGAAGAAGCGATTGCCTTTCGTTCACTGGCGTTTTTGGTTATCCGTTGCTTTTTCTCAACAGCACGAATGGGACGTTGAATCACATTGACACTTGAAGTTTCATTTATTTTTAATTTCTTAGCTCTCTTTACATTTTTCTGTTTTACGTCAACATGAGATTCATTTTCTTTGAAAGATTCATCAGAATCATTTGTACCAGATGAATCTGTCTCTTCGGAAGCTACTCTTGGCCTTCCTTGGACTTCCTCACGATTAAGTCCCTGCGCTCGAGCAAGGGACAGACCTTCAGCTTGCCGAACGCTAAGCGTAGGTTGGCGTTCTAAAAAGGACTTAAGCCAATGAGGTCCAGCTTTACCTGTCTCCTTATTAAATTTATGTTCGATCCCAAGCTTTTCAGCGAATTGAAACGCTAAACTTCGTACCGTATCTCGTGACACAGGAAACCCAGCCGCTTCTAGTTTTTGGATGTGTGCGACGAGGCGTTTTTCGTTATCGAAGTCTAGAGCGGGGTGTTTCCCTAGAAATAATCATAAAATCGATTAAACATTAATTAAGTTTCATTAAAAAATATTAAATTGACAAAGTACCTAAAGTAAGTTTCTTAGTATCTTGTTTCACGAAACGTCTTTTCAGGGTCCTGGCAGGAATTCCATAACGACGAGATATTTCATTCAAGCCGTGCTTATTCTGCCTCATTTCTTCAAAAGCTTCTCTTAGGGCATCTTCCGTCCATCCGGCTCGAGGGCTTGCCCCTACTTTGCGCACGTACTTGCGAGGCATTATCTACAATACCTATAAAAATCGATAAAAGTTTAATAGGGGATAGATGCCTCTAAGGGCATCTATACTCACAAAAAACTAGGCATCTATCCTTTTTCGGGGGGATAGACGCCGCTCAAAATATTTATTTACTTTAATGATAAAACATACGTAAATAATAAACAAAATCTTTTATTTAACACATCTACACTTAAATAAAACAAAAATATAAACACTTACCTCATAAAATCAAAAGTTTCGAGCCCATCAAAATTTCAGACAAACCAAATTCACGAATTAACTGCCGCAAAAAATGTTCGTTGTCTCATAACTCTCGACACGTCCGTTCCAGCTAAGTGCGTGGCACTGACCGAAGGACGGGCGGGGGTAGGGTTACGTTAAAACAAAACACAATGGATCTAATGTTTATACATGTCGCTACGTGTTTACTGAGGCAACTATCCCACTGAGGCATCTATCCCACATTTACTGTATACTAGCTGCGCCCCGCGGTGTTAACGCGGATTTCCGGGATTTCCGGGATTTCCGGGATGTAAAGTAGCCTATGTGTTATTCCTGGACGTCAGCTTCCTGTATACAAAATTTTATCAAAATCGGTTCAGCTGTTTGAGCGTCAAGAAGTAATAAACATACACACACACTCACAAACTTTCGCAATTATAATATTAGTAGGATGTGTATGTGTGTGTCCCAAAAATAAAAACGTTGATAACAAAATCTTCCATGATTCCAGTGAGAATGAAGCCATAGCTTAAAAAAATATAATGCTTAAAAAGAGGCCGTTTACTCAAATAATTGCCATATGTCAATTAGTGTCTCTGTTGTGACATGTATATTTTTAATAGCGAAATATGTCACAGATAAACATGAATTAAACATCCTATGTTTAAAACACAAACAAATAAGATTTTATTGATACTTAAATCTATTTATTTTGACAAGGAAAACAATTTTAATGTAATTTTCTATATTACCAGGTGATAGATGAAATAAAACGCGTCTTATCTATAGTAGAGGGTCCACAAACACCGCCGCGCGTACACGAAGTATTACAGGAATTGAGAGATATATCAAGTATGGCGATAGAACATTTCGATGATAAAATATCACCGGCTTTTAGGAAGAGGCTGCAAGAAGGTGTTACTTCACCAGCGCCAAGACCTGTACAGGGTAAGAAAATGGTTATAAAAGATGTATGGATTAACTATGTAGTGTTAGAAATAATTTGGGCACTTCCACTTAGTTAACTACTCCACAACTTGTAACCGAATCCCCAGTATAACACTCTAATTAAAAATTATAAAACAAATTGTTAAGTATTTGGACATTTAAATTACCGTACAGAAATATTATTAACATTAATTTACAATATTAAACCGAATATACAGATGACGCTAGTTGACTATCATAAGAATTCCCAATAAATATTAGAATATAAATAGCGTGAAGCTTAGAATTGTGAAGTAGACAAATATTTAAATCATTACAAATAATTATTACTAATACTAGATTTTGGGGGTATTTTGACTTTTTGCAGAGATGGGCTAGAAGTTAGGTTCAAGTATTGGGCCATCAATCTGTCCATTGAAATTTTGGAATGAAAGAATGACTATGAATAATGGATGGCAGAATTGGGGGGAAAAAATTACTTTTAGGGCCTATATATGTTAGAATTTGGGGAACAATGACCTTTTTGGGATTATATATGTTAGAATATAGTAATTGCGAAAGTTTGTGAGTGTGTGTGTATGTTTGTTACTTCTTCACGCTCAAACGGCTCAACCGATTTTGATAAAATTTTGTATATAGGAAGCTGACGTCCAGGAATAACACGTAGGATACTTTACATCCCGAAAATCCCGGTAACACCGCGGGGCGCAGCTAGTATGTTAGAATTTGGTGAAATCTTTACTAAAAACCTATGTATGTTAAAATTTGGGGAAAAAATGACTTGTAGGGCCTATGTATGTTAGAATTTGAGGTAGAATGACTTTTAGGGTGTGTATGTAAGAATATAAGGAAAAAAATGTCTTTTAAGGTCAATATATTTTATAATTTGTGAGAAAAAATGTTACTAATATTTTCCTAAGTATTGTAATCTATATATAATTTCCAGGTGTGATGTCACCTTTAGTTCTTCGTCAGGAGTTGGTTCATCTACGTCGGCGCTCGATCCTCAACGCAAAGCTCTCTTTATTCCTCGCTTCACAGTACAAGAATTTCCACAAACGAGTTAGTATTATAAATAATAGTTTTGTATAATACCATTATTCTTCTTCTATCTGGTAATTTTCTGGTTATAGCCAGGGTCTGCCTACCTATAATACCATTATTATAGGTTTATATTATTATTTACATATAAAGTTGAGGAAGGGCATAAATGATTTATTTTGAAATGTTATCTGTAGTAGGAAATTAATATAAAATGTATAGATATATATGTAATTGTTAAATAAAATTTATTTTCAATGAAGTATCAAGTAATCCTTATGGAAATGTTTGTTAAGTAATTATTTTATAATCTATAAAATACAATAACCTAGATTCTTTCATTAAATTATTATAAATATAGTAAAAGATATCAATAAACAAATAATTAGTATGTTATATAATAATAAAAAACTTACATCTTCATTTTGTAAAAAAACTATTTTTCTGTATACAGATATTTATACTATATCTCATTTAAATAAGGTTGTATTTCCATAGTTATAAAAAAATAATATTAATTGCTATTTTATTTCAGATGTTTGAGTACAAAAAAATTGCTTGGAGACAAAGACGCACTATAAGAGAATTATCAAGAAGACAACGAGATCAAGATAATGCTATAGGTATTATACCTACTAATATTATAAATGCGAAAGTAACTCTGTCTGTCTGTCTGTTACGCTTTCACGCCTAAACCACTGAACTGATTTTAATGAAATTTGGTACAGATATAGGGTTGACTTTGAGAAAGAACATAGGATAGTTTTTATGCCAGACTTTTGAAAGGTTCTCTTGGAAACGCGATATAACCGAACTCTACGCGGGCGAAGCTTCGGACGGAAAGCTAGTATATAATAAATATATAATTATTATATACATCATTAATTATATTTATGTCCAAAATATAGTAATATATAATAGTGCGTGGAAGAAGTGATAGTTTGTAATGTGGTACTAAAAATAGGAATTTTTTTTAAGGAATTTTTAGTGTTACTTTAAGATAAACTTTATTAACATTACTTACAAGTCACAATTGATTGGCCGCTTCTTTCGAGCGACACGCATCCCCTTTCTGTATTTTTTATCCCTTCCCCTAGGAGCGTTATAATTTAACGCAACCTTGTTGGAAGTTGCATATAAAGTTTCTCTGCAATAATGTATTTATACATAATATGTTATGATAAACTGACAAAAAAATCATGTTATTATGGTCATGATTACTTGTCTATAATGATATATTGTCAGGTTAAAATGTAAGTTTCAATCGTATATACGTGGCTTAAAGTTAATTGTTCTAAAATTTTTCGATTGGTATTTATTAAAGTATTATTATTTAATTTCAATACATTTTATATTCTGTAATATATAAATAAATTCAGTGCTGTGTACATCTATAATCGGTACACACATCAGTTAAGTGTTCAGTTTTAAATGTTTAGTTTTAAGTGCTTAATGTATGTACTGTCGATGTGCCGTTCAAATAAAAAAAGAATTATAACTCAATATACAGCTACTTATACAGGACAAAGTTCATACCTTAGTTATATAAAAATCCAGAACACAAGATAAAAAAAAAAAACAAAAAACGAACTCTAAATGAGAAACAAAACTATTTATACCTCAACTTGCTTTCCGCCAGCAGCCTCGCCCGCGTGGAGTTCGGTTATATTACGTTTCCAAGAGAACCTTTTAAAAGACTGGGATAAAAACTATCCTATGTTCTTTCTCAAGGTCAACTCTATCTCTGTACCAAATGTCATTAAAATCAGTTCACTGGTTTAGTCGTGAAAGCGTAACAAACAGACAGACAGAGTTACTTTCGCATTTATAATATTAGTAGGGATTTGCATTTCTTTCAAAATTTACATATACAAGTCATATCTTTAATGATAATAAAATACATTATTTAATAATATTTTAATATATTTTCAGCGGAACTGAAAAAACGTATAGAAGAGTGTGATATTAAATACAGTGAACTAACACACACCAATCAAGCTGTGGGAGGGAAAGTTATAGCAGGTTAAAGAAAACTATATATATATATATATATATATAATAATATTAATATTATATAAAAATTAAATAATATACAGGGTGACTGGTGAATTACTATCAATATTTAAGGAGCATACTCGGTACATGATTCTCATTCGAATTATGTAAAAAAATAGGTACTTAATTGTTCTGCCTTATTTGGACAATTATATGTTAAACTTTGATTTAACGGTTTATAATATTATTATTTTTATGTTTAATTTATCAAATACTGGCAAAGTCTACAAAAACATATACTCGTTTTCATTTCTACATCTATCTACCAGTAATAAGATGTAACGTTATCGCGAGCATTCAATTAAATGAAATTAATATTTTTCAAAAGTTTAGAATATGTGGTTTTTTCAAATTATAAAATACGATAAGTAATTCGAAAAATATTTCATTTATCTACTAATAGTTGCTTCACATTGTACTCATGAAATATATATATGTTATAATACTAACAATATTTTATAATACATATACATAATTCACCCGATTTAAATATAATTGAGTATGTTACATATTTTACAAAATGATAATAATAAAATCTATATGACCAGATCAACAAGTAATTGCTACAAATATTAATTATTTGTATATCCAGTATATATGTGTGTGTGTGTGTGTGTGTCCTTGTATTAATATGCTATTTTTCCAGCGTCGTCGTGTGATCGCTCCTCATCTCAGCCTCTCCGTCACTTCAGCAGTCAGATCAAACTGGACCTATCCGTGTTACCGATAGGGACCTCCAAAAGGAATACGAATAAACGTAAATTATAACTTTCTTATATATATACACATACACGAGAATCTTATATATAAGATACTAGCTGCGCCCCGCGGTGTTACGTTTTTTTCCGGGATATAAAGTAGCCTATGTGTTATTCCTACACGTCAGCTTACTGCATACAAAATTTTATCAAAATCGGTTCAGCCGTTGGATAGTGAAGAAGTAACAAACATACACACTCACAAAATTTCGCAATTATAATATTAGTAGGATATAAGAAAGTCATGTGAGTGATATAAGTGTACTTAAATTTCTATTCATACCCTTTATATACCATTTTTGGATATATTTATTTGGAATATGTACGTTATAAAAGAAGCAGAAGTCTTTATAATGAGATCTAAGATTTTCGCGAGTACTCATTTAAATGAAACTAATATTTTAGTAGTTGCTGAAAACTAGCCGAAACGTCGGGAGTATGTAGTTTGTAATCAAAAATAAAAACGAGAAGTAAAAGCCGAAAATATTAGTTTCATTCAGAAGTCTTTATACAGGGTGACTGGTGAATTACTATCGATATTTAAGGACGTGATATTTGACGATCATATATGACAAAATAAAAATTAATATAACATAAATATTAATAAACTTCTAAGTAAAGTTAACCAAAAGTTATGTAATTAATTACGCATCGTATGAACACCCTACAGATTAGGTATACACACACACACACTCGCGCGCGGCGGCGTGTTGTTGTATCAGCACGCCGCCGCACGCGTCCACACTTGGAACGTGTACACACTTTATTTATACGGAAATTTGGTCAAAAATTAAGTACCTATTTTTTTTACATAATTCGAACGAGAATTATGTACCGAGTATGCTCCTTAAATATTGATAGTAATTCACCAGTCACCCTGTATATAAAAGAAAGTTGTGTTAGTTACACTATTTATAACTCAAGAACAGCTGTACGGGTTTAGATGAAAATTGGTGGAGAGATAGATTAGAACATAGAAAGGATATAGTATACATTTCATGCGATTGAAAAAGAAATAATAATTAGTTGATCTAATCCAAAATCTTATCTACTGTCTTTAAGAAAAATAGAGTTTTCACGGTGTATACATTTCTAAATCTGTAACTAACTCAGACGGAATCGCGAGCAAAACCTAGTATAATATATCACCTAATTTATATATTGTTTTACAGTGTTGCCAAACATGAAGCCTCGAAAGCCCGTAATAAAATTCCCCAGTATATCTGAAGACACAGAAATGGAATCGAACCCGGGACCTTCGAGCCCAAAAACTAAAACACAATCAACACTCGCGAAAATAAGAGGCATTGCTAACGAGATACGCCATCTATCGAACTTATCAAAAAACTTCGATAGTAAATTAAAGCGCCCTCTAGCGGATGCAGAGGAAACTGATCCGAAGAAAATTAAAATTGATTAATTTTAGCTCATATTAAAATAATGCTCACACATTATTTGTTCATTTGTGTATTTTTTTGTTGATAATTGTCCATTAATAATGAATTTTTCGTTGATGAATATTTATCAGTGATTAGCCTCATTTATATCAAAATGCTCACATTATTTGTTCATTTGTGTATTTTTGTTGATAATTGTCCATTGATAATTCATTTATCAGTGATTATTATCCATTGATAATTGTTCATCACTGTTTTAATTCACATTAAGTATTAATAGTTGTTTGATGTGTTCATTTTATTTTAGTATCTAGGACAGTCTTTTAGTAGACTATTGTTTAGGATTTAATTATTATATTAAAATTGTTTATCTACAGTAGAATCTGTTTATAATAAGAATGAAAGGAAATTACAAAATTATATAAAGCGTTTTGTGATTTTTTATGTAAATACATATGTACTGATGTATTTTAATAGAGAAACATTATTAAGTATTTTCAATTTATATGTAATAAATATATAGTTCACACATATGTATGTGGTATATTTTTGAATTTTAATGTAAGCTATATGTACGTTTAGTTATTGAAATTCATTGAGATTGTCAGAATATCTTATGAAATTCTTTTGCGACAGATTATTTTCTCTGTATTATCTAATTCGCATATTATTGTACTTTTTTCTCGTAAATTCTTTTACATTTGAAATATTTTTTCTCAAAACTTATGATTAAATTAATACCTGTGTTTTAAGTCTCAATGAGACTTACTCAATGTGATTCAAAATAAAAGAAGTCATTCAAATCAAAAAACATTATAAGACATGTAAAGCGTGTTGGTCATATAACAAAATATACATTAAAAATGATCATAATAAGTGAAATAAAATAAACAATTGAAGTCTTTATATTCAATTATCACAAATTGTTTTATATGTAAAAAAATGATTTTTAATGACATGATATCCGGTTATTCAATATAAACAGATTCTACTATATAATGAAAATAAAATTATTATATTTAAATTTTATTTACTAATTAAATTCTCATGTCTACTAGGACTGTCAGTTATGTATGGTGTTGAAAGTGAATTTCTTTGATCTAGTTTTGGACAATTTTGATTGATTTGTATCAAAGAAATTTCACAATATGAGGCAGATTTATAATTATTAAGCTTACATGAAGCTAATGTGATCGCACCTAACTCGAGTTCTTCCTGAATATTTGCAATAATTGATGTGTATATCTTACATATTTTATAAAGCATATTTAAATTTATCCGCCTACAGATAAAGAGTTAACTATGTTGTGGCTGTTTTATTTATCAACCCATATTATGTTCATTTTTTTTTATGTAAAAAGTGGCAAACGAGTAAACGGCCTACTTGATGGTCAGTAGTGACCGTCGCCCATGGACATCGCAACATTTATGTTGCGGATGCTTTGTCATCTTTATTTGTAGAGGAAAAGGGAGGGGTGGGAACAAGGAAATAGCAGGAAAGGGAGGGAATAGGGAAAAGGTAACCGGCACTTTCACTCATCGGACGAAACGCAGCCATTAAAGACTACTTCACGCCGATCTTCTGTGAGAGGGTGGTACTTCCCCGGTAGAGCCAGCACATGTTCGAGCTGTAGTAACTTGGCTACAACTAGGCTCTACTACCTAAGTAAAAAACAAACAAAGTAAAAAACAACAAAGTTATTCGGTTTTGAATCAACGTAAGTTGTCAAATAAGTCCAATAAACTATTTTTATACATAAGAAACTTAATATTTAAAATAAATACAGTTAAACGTTACAATATAGGTTAAATTAACAAAAATATAGGGGACAATAATATTCTTTTTAATTTTTGAAGGAAAACTTCTTTGCGTACGCTTGACTGGGGGGGTATTTAGTTGAATGCGTTACGAAAAGTGTGAGGGAGATATAAGTTAGTACAAAATTAATATGTATACAACGTGTTACATAATTAACGCACACCCTGAAAGGAGTTTGTTCAGAATCGGTATCTGGATCGATTTTTATAGTTTTATATGTAGGTCATTTTTTTCTCAAATTTAGATAGAACTACAAATTTAGAGAGAATTAAATCGCTAGTTTATAAGTTTCGAGGAACTAAAAAATAAGATATTTTTAAAATAACATATTAGATTTGTAAAAGTGAAAAGTAACACTGCAGTATTATCTAAAATAAAACCACAATTGCGGAAACGGTGATAAAGGTGCATTGAACAAGGCGGTGGACATTTTGAAAATGTTTTAAAACGACAACGCCGTGCGAGTGCAAATTAAACTGTAAGTTTGTTTATGATCTTTAAATTATTGTAAATATTTTGATTCACACCATTTAAACACGCCGACTTTGTCGTAGGTATTGTGGTGTCTAATCACATCACGCGTTATCAGCTGTTTAATAATTCTTATTTACAAATTTAATTTAACAAATCAGTAATTATAAAATATTGGCTTCACATTAAAAAGAAAATTCAATGTCAACAATCTAAAGCTTGAAAAGTGTGATGGAAAGAAAAATCATAAATCATATGTTATTTCGTGTACTTATTATTACCTACTTATTATTGTCGGACGGCACTCGGAGAGAGGGGCGCGGGCGCGGCGAGTACATTGTGTCTGTCTGTGGGTGCGTGTGCAGCGGAGTGTTGGTGAATAGCTGACCATGGTATTTGCACGAAATTGGGATAACTAATTTGACAAATAAAAAATGCTAACGCACATATAAATAATATTTGGTGTATGCATTGCGTTTATATTATTATATTATAATTGGGGTGTTTGAGGGTGTGCGTTAATTACGTTACACGTTGTATACATATATGTCTGATTTATACATATAGGTATAAACATGTGCATATACATATTACATAAAGTGGGAGCGAAAGAAATTTACTTCAGTAATGTGGTCTGAAGTAGACTGGTTTTAATTTTTATTAAAAACTAGCTTTCCGCCCGCAGCTTCGCCGCGTGGAGTTCGGTTATATCGCGTTTCCAAGAGAACCTTTCAAAAGTCTGGGATAAAAACTATCCTATGTTCTTTCTCAAGGTCAACTCTATCTCTGTACCGAATTTCATTAAAATCAGTTCAGTGGTTTAGGCGTGAAAGCGTAGCAGACAGACAGACAGACAGACAGACAGAGTTACTTTCGCATTTATAATATTAGTAGGGATTAATTACGTTACACGTTGTATACATATATGTCTGATTTATACATATAGGTATAAACATGTGCATATACATATTACATAAAGTGGGAGCGAAAGAAATTTACTTCAGTAATGTGGTCTGAAGTAGACTGGTTTTAATTTTTATTAAAAACTAGCTTTCCGCCCGCAGCTTCGCCGCGTGGAGTTCGGTTATATCGCGTTTCCAAGAGAACCTTTCAAAAGTCTGGGATAAAAACTATCCTATGTTCTTTCTCAAGGTCAACTATATCTCTGTACCGAATTTCATTAAAATCAGTTCAGTGGTTTAGGCGTGAAAGCGTAGCAGACAGACAGACAGACAGACAGACAGAGTTACTTTCGCATTTATAATATTATAGTAGGGATAAATAGTAGGTATAAGAGTTGCCACGAATATTCGTCTTCTATTCGGACACTTTTTTTGTATTCGAAACATGAACAAGACACATCATATTACTCAACATTTGTATATACATATTATCAAATCACAATATTTTGATTAAATTTTTTCTTTATGGTTTTAGCATATCATGTAGCGTAATGTTATAACCCATGAATGTTACTCATATTGCTGATTTAGACCTCACAGGTCGTTGACATTACATTCCAGACATACTGCCAAATCAACTCCTTTTCTTTCTAACTTGACCCTGATCTTCAGTTCAATCCCAGCTTACGCAATATCACTTTTACCGAATTACCTCACTCCAATTAATTAATTAAATTGTTAATGAAATTAACAATTAGTTATGTGAATGAGTATATTCGTTTTTAAAAAGCCGAATCCTCGGTAAGTTCTAACAATGCAAAATACTCATTGCTTTGGCTTACAGCGTTCTAGAATATTCGGTATTCTGCCAAATCACTACTCGTGGCACCTCTAAATAATATACATACAATACACTTTCTCTTCCTATTACTAGACCAAAAACCCGAAAGCAGCGAAATCAGAAGACATAATAGATTCTGAGCTAAATTAATATCACTTCATTAGGCATTCGAGAAATTTTTAAATAATATCATAAGCTTACGTTGTGAAAGAAACAGATTCGCTAAAAATAATTAATAGCCAGTAGGGTCAATTTTGAGCAAACATTTTATTCTTCCAGCAAATATTAGAGGAATGCATTGAAAATTTGCAACATCATTGTAATTGAACGTCTAGGATTTCAAGGATAGGATAAATAGAGGTATTTTAAGTATAGTACCTTAACAAAAATTTCTATTACGTGAGAAAATGAGTTTTTATGATATTACTATTAATACTACTATTATAAGCTCATATTATAGTTAATTAGTAGCTGATTTAAGAAGATTCGGTTTTTATTAACGTAAAAGCTTTTTAATTTTTTAAGATTGACTGTGGCCTGTATACCATGGTTGTCAAGTCATCTTACTAATATTATAATTGCGAAAGTTTGTGAGTGTGTGTGTATGTTTGTTACTTCTTCACGCTCAAACGGCTGAACCGAATTCGACAAAATTTTGTATACAGGAAGCTGACGTCCAGGAATAACACATAGGCTACTTTACATCCCGGAAATCCGCGGGTAACACCGCGGGGCGCAGCTAGTAAGTCCATGAATTTGAAGTAATAGTTGATGGACATAAATCAAACTCAGGCATGAGTTTTTATATTCGTAATTTTATTTGTACATAAATTAAGCATTTCATAATTCTAGAGAGGTTTGTACATTTAATATAAAGTACATAATAATGATGAGTACCTAATTAATTATGTCATTATATTTCTTAAAAATAAAGCAATTATAGTTAGAGTATACACATGAGTGACAAGAAGCGTGAATTATCCTTTATACATTTTTGTGTGGTAGGTACTTTAAAAATTTTATCAGTGCAAATAAATACATATCATTCATACATTACCTATATTTAAAGTTAACAGTACAATTTAATAGAATATTTAAATTCGGTTGCGTATTGCACTTAACCCTTTAGTGATAACTGATTAGTCCAATTGAGATACAAATTACACAAGTCATAAAAATTGCACAGACCCACAATCGAAATTACCATCACACACTTTATGAAGAAAAAATATTAAAATATTATCCATAAGAATACATTATAATTATTTTTATTCCACATTTTTGTCAAGAAATATAATTAAATGACCATATTAATAATCAAAAAAATCGTTAAAAAAGTATCACATATATCGATTAATTAATTTTGGATAATAAATCCATAAATATGTTAATTTTATTTTATTTTAATGTGACTATCAAATTACAATTAAGGATATTACTTGCCCGGGTTCTACGTTGTAAATTTTATAACAGGAAACAAATAATAGTTGTTAAATGAAAGTAAGAGCTGTCATAATAATATTGACAAGTCTACATTGAATTTCCCTTTTACTGTCAAAAGTCATAAGTCATTATTTAGGATGAGTTTAAACTTTAAAACTTCAATTTATCTTAAAAATGTTAAATAATTTAACCAATTTAAAGAAAACTACATACTGTTATCTATCTTATATATAAAGTAGATCATTTGACATTTGTTAACGTATTCAAGAAAGTGAACTTTTTATTACGTCGCACTCATATAACACCAAATGAGCGAAATACCGCATTGTCAAAACTAAATATGCTTTCTACATAGTTTTCTCTTTTCGCACTTTGGCGGGATGGCTGATATATATATAGTAATACAACGTATTTTGTCATTTTGAAGAAAGGTTTCTCTGTGTTCAGTCCAGTAAGTTACAACAAGGAGGCTTAATTACAATATTCTAGTTACGAATTTATGTACGTCACTATAGACAGATAACTACTACAGAAATCGTATTCGTTACAATATAAAACCATTATAACTATCGTGCATTATCTACAAGTTAATATTGTTAATAAATATTATATTATTTCGTGTTTTATTTGTACTGCAACCTGATTTAATCTAGTTTTTCGTCAATTTGAAGGACATTTGTAATAATTATCGATCGTTAACGAGTTCAAATCTATTGTCAAGTATGAGATATACAATTGTATTTCATACTTTTAAGAAAAATATATAAAAAAATCATATACTTTCTAAGAGTATTTAGACATCACTGACAGATGAAGGAAAACATCGTGAGGAAACCTGGACTTATAATTACACAATTATAAGTTAGAAAACACCAACGCGTCTTGAGCGAGCGTGGTGATTAATGCTCAAACCTTCTCCATGTGAGAAGAGGGCTTTCAGCAGTGGGCTCTGATAGGCTGATGATGATGAGTTGATATATTAATGAGGTTTGTCATACGTTATATCAGCGTGATATCCGTCTGGGCCAGCGACGTAGTTTACTTGCTGCATTCTTCCATCAGGCAGCAATACGTGATATTGTCCTTTGGTTTTCAAGCCATTCTTTGACTCTCTATGTCCGTAGAAATTAGCTGTGTCGATATCTCTCACACGGTAACCGAATTCATAATTCGCAGCGTATTTTAACTGAAACGAAAAGGAATATAAAAATTATTTAATGTACTTTTTTTTCTATATATTTAGTTGCAAAATTTCATTTACATTGCCGTGTTTTTATTTAAATTTAACCGTAGTCATTGGTGTTACGTCAATTCATTTAAATATTATTATTATTTAGAAGACTGGTTTTCGTAAAAGAGGTCAAATTAAAAAATATGTATAGGATAAAGTCAAAATTAAAAACAAAAGATATTTTTTTAATTCATAATACCTATTTTAGTTTCGGAAAATAATATTGATGTGTACAGACTTGGTTAATTCTTTTGTTTTTATTTTTAGACCAAGTAATTTGTGGTTTAAATGAACTTTTCTGTTAAATACAAACGTTTTGTAACTAAATACGTTTCATAATTTGCAAGTATATCGACAGGATGGCTTAGAACTTTGTAATTATATACAGTATTATGCAATACCAACTTTCTGTAATAGTTGAAGATCCAAGTAAAATAGAAAGCACATTTTCTTGTAGTTCCAGTCACGATTCTGAGCTGAGACAAATTTATTTGATTCTTACGTCTTCCTATTTTAGTGTCTAGAATTAATTTGATTGTAAACTTTTTAGATAAAACGTTGCTAAGTATATATTTACATATATTAATATTATTTTCTGTTAAGAAAAGCTTTTTATCAGAAATTTTATGTGTATAACCTTAATAAATAGTAAAAAAAACGTTCCGTTTATGCACTTTATTCTTTTATTTTTACCCTACGGTCATAAAGTTAATATTAAATAATCATAACCTTATATGTATAGTATACAATAAAAAATAAATTATTTGCAAAGTATGATTAAAACAATACATATATATTCAAAACGCATTTTTATTTCAACGGTCTGAGTAATTTATTATATTTTTATGTATTTTGCAAACAAACAATGAGTATGGCAATAATTTCAAAACATGTTGTGGCCAAGTTACTAAACAATTGCTTCATTTCAGAACGCATAAGCCTACATATTGGTAAATAAATATATTATTATATTTTTAACAATGCCATGTTTAATAGTTTTATTGCTCTGAGCTCACGGTTAATAGAGTTTATTTTTATTATAATAACAAACTACGTCATTTCGTTCAGTTTTCAATTATTAATAGAACAGTCAACATTTATTGCGAACTTTTGACATTATTCTTATTTATTTATTTTTTTTTTCACATGCCAACCCAGATTTTTTAATGTCTTGTACATTATATGACTTAAATTAAGATCTTACATAAGTAATGATATAAAAAATGCACTTTTATTTCCGAAAATAAATTATTTATTACATAAGATTATCTTAACATTACAATAAATACTTTAAATATGTTTTAGTTTATTTATTAAACGTGAAATTTGTTTAGTTTATGTAAATTACTTCTGAGGTGCCTAAAGGGATTTCGTTTACGATATTTTCTTGGGTAGTAAGGTGTTTTCTTGGCTCTGTTTTCTTTAAGAAGTTGGTATACATCGAGATGTTCAATATTCAAATTGTGATGTCCTACTAATTCTTTTAATTGTGATTGTGTGAGCATGTAGACCGGTTCAATGACATTCGGGAATTGGTTTGTTAATGTAGGTACTTCTAATTTAGGGGGAATGAATGTTTGGGCTGTGCTGAATACTGATGTACCGTATATAGGAACACCATAAGAGGTAGCGGGAGGATTTCCATAGAGTTGAGATATGGGAGAACGACGAAAATTACGCGTTCTGGAAGGATAGACCTTTGGTTCGGATTGAGGGGGAAAATATGGTCTAGGATTGTCATAATCTGAACTAAAGTCATCATAATAGTCGTCATCGTAAAACGATTCGAGTTTTTGCTTTGATCGCTTCGAGTTTAACTGTTGGTAATCGTAGTCGTCATTATAGTCGGCAGCTTCACCGACGGGAAAGTCAGGGGACAGAAAAACGTTGAAATCACCGGCGCGTTGCTTGGTTAACGGATTTAACCTAATAAGGGATTCGGATGTGGGCGAGTCTGAGCAATTAGTTGCTGTGGATTTCGTTTTTTCGTCAGTGAAAAGGAATGGTGATGTGTCTAGTTTAGATCGCTTTTGACGTATGTGGATAGATATTGATAGTTTTTTCGGTATACTTACATCATCGTCGCCGTAAGCTGAAACTTCTGTTCCATCACCAGATAGATGTTGAACTCCAGTTGGTTGTGAATTAATCTTCAAATACTGTTCATTTTTGACGTCGTTCTTACCATAAGTTTGACCGTAATGCGATATTTGGTAAGTTGGGTCATTTGGATTATATTCTTCTTGTCTCGGTCCCGTTATTGTTTGACTGGCCACTTCTACTTTGTAGTAATCATTTCTCGTAGTAGTAACTTCGCTGGCTTTAGTCGTTGGTATTGTTTGAATGCTGTAATATTGTTGGTCTTCTATTGGGATGCCAATATCATCTACATCTTCTGTTATCGGCGTGTGATCTTTTATTTTTAATTCTGATGGAATTATGTATGAATTAGAATTCTGAGCGTATTTTGATTGTTCTTGAGATAGTGCCTGGGTATTTGGATCTTTAAGATAGAGATAAAGATCGATTGGTTGTTTATTGTCGTTTTCAGCGCTAGATGTTATAAGAGCATTAAATTCTGTCAATTGTTCCACTGGATTTTTTGTTAGTAATGAATTGAGAACTTGAATATCTTGGATCGATTTTAAGTTCTGTGTTTGTGTGTAGTGTTTCGGATAGCCGTATTTAGAATCGCTGGAAATCGTTTCCGCGTAAAGTTTACTCGGTGTTTTACTATTCAAATGTCCTAGAAGGTTGATATTATCTTTTAATGAGACATCCTGGTCGTTTTCTGATGCTGTCACGTATACAGTTCTGTATCTCTGCGGCTCCAAGTATTGTTGATAATCAACTGGACCATATGATCTATAATTTCTATTCCTATTCGCTATGGCGTCCTCTTTTGTAATTTTCGTTACATCTAATCCTGGTGTTAGAGTGTCTCTCTTTGGAAGATTCTGTAAGCGACTTTGTCCTCGATTAGTGATTTTCGGCATTAGTTTTGGCGGATCAGTGCTATGTAGTCTTTTATTTATTTGTACTCGTTGTTTCTGTCTGTGTTGTGATCTGACTGGTGTTTTAGTTGTTGGATTATCATTAATTGTAGCCTGTTGTCGCTCTAAAGCCAGCTGATGACTTTCCTGTGATTCGTGGTACGCTTTCATGTAGCTATCTTCGATTCTGGGCAGATTTGTCTGTCGTTGTAACTGAGCTTTGTGTTGACGAATCCTTTCAGCGTTGAACATAGCTTGTTGGTTGCTGGCGTGTAATCTTGCATTCTGTATGGAGTTACCAGCGAGTGGGTTACCATATGGAAGTAACCCTGGGCTACTTGATATTCTGACTCTATCATCAACTCTTGATTGTTCGTTAATAACTTCGTAAACTGGCCTGGCGTTCTTATTGCATGATGCCAGTTGAAATGCAAGTAGCAATATGGTGACCACTAATGTTAAGTGATTTGGATGATCCATTTTCTGTAAACAATATATTTGCTTTGCTTATTATTATAATAACCATAGTTTACATATAATTTTGATTATTATTTATATTAATTATAAGTAATTGATGGTCAAAAATATATTATACGTAGGATAATGTTGGTCTTACGTATGTGTATTGAAGTAATCTTTTAGGAGTCCGAGACGATACAAAGAAAGCTATGATTTGTTCTTATTATTTATGGAAGATTCTCGCAAGTCATTGAAATTTGACCTTTTATTACCTCAAACGTGTAACTGACTCGTAAAATATCTATTGTAAATACAAAGAGAAAGTGTCTACTTAGAATTTTGAATATTCATTATAGGGAAATATGAAAATTTTTAATGAACGTTATTGTAATTAATTTTGTATAATTAAATTGTTACCTTACTTTTATTTAGTACAAAAAAGTAACTAAAAGTTTTATAGTAATATTTAATGTGTTTAACAAAATATGATTATAAAGCAAATGTGAGTTTTTGATCTTCTTTTTGTTATTATGTATTCTTTATACTTCCCAAATTTTTCTTAATATAATTAATAACTAAGTACTTAGTAAGTATAGAATGCAAGTGTGAAAAAAGAAAAAAAAACTATCAAATTGTTTTTATTTTTTATACTTAACTAGAATAAGTTAAAACTCATTATTCTTTTTGGTGTTATAAAATAAAAAAAAACTTTATGAAAAAAAATACAATGAAATTTGGTAATATATATATATGTATATGTTATATAATACATTATACACATAGTAACATACATATGTATACAAACTTTCTCCGATGACACACTGTGATTAATACAGTAATTGTTGGCACGAATTGTGTAATATTTAGAGTTTTACTTACGCTAAGTACTATGTTATTACTTATTAGTATAACATACTACTTCATATATTTTAACACGTTTATATTAGCTTGGGCTGTATGAATGTAACGGAATCTTTGAGCAAGATTTTCATCAGTTTCTAAACATCTAATTAACTTGAAACTTTGCATATATCTCAAGGATAAATTACAATGCAATAATTCGTTAACAATTTCCCATTATCCTTGTTAGGGCTTCCAGGATTAATATATTCTTTTCATACATCCTCTATGAGAGTGAAAGGGACAGAGCTAGTGTGTGACTGCGCCTGTCCACAAAAAACTAATTGATAAATCGTACTATAAAATATAAAATAGATATTAATTACATGCGTTTTTTTAAGTTTTTGAAACTAATAATTTAAATAGTTTAATTATTATATTTTAAAAGATTAAGTTTTTCGTAACTATATCCTATGAAAGTTTTAATAATGTTTTTAATACATTTAGATGTTTTTACAAGATAAGAGTAATATTTAAAACGTTTCACTTCTATATGTACATATGTATGTTTGACATTCGAGTTTATTACTTCCCATGTATAATTAAACTACCATTTACTTCATATCACGTGATTTTGAAGTGAGACTAATTAACTTCCAACAACATTTATTACTAAATGAGGGTTAATTTTGTAATTCTCATATACTTATGTATGTAAAAGAAATATGTAGATGTATAATGTATATTTAAATTTGTTATTGCTTGAGAATTTAAAAATTATGTCTCTGTAAATAAATTTATTATATTGTATTATAATATATAAGATTAACTGAAAGTTGTTTTTGCAAGTATTTGATCTAAAGATATACTGGGATTGATTTTTTTTCTTTATAAATAAATTCATATAATTATTATTATCCATACAACGTTATACGTTCGTACAAGTATAAATGACTTTTATCTAAGATAGGATGTAACGCCGTTTGCAGTTGTAAAAGTAATATGTACTTACTATAAATTAAAATATATATAGTTGTTAAAGGAGAGTATTAAAGTATTTCTATTCATAAAATAAAACGCATAAATAATAATAATTTACCATAGTTTAATTATCTTTTTATTACTGTTTGAAAGAATATACCTTGAAATTCACGAATGTTGTCATATAAAAAAACGATTTTATACAAATTATTTGACAACGACAGACCTACGAATTTATTTACATAAATGAATAGATAGTTTACATACAATATTTATCTTTGACTCCATTCAAAGTACATATATATGTAAAACCATGTACACATCTATATATATAAAAGAAAGTCGTGTTAGTTACACTGTTTATAACTCAAGAACAGCTGTAGGGATATGGTTGAAAATTGGTGGAGAGATAACTTAGAACCAGGAGACAGTCATAGGATACCTTTTAATCCGTTCGATCGAAAAAAGTTAATAAAATCCAAAATCTGTTTATTTACTGTCTTTTAAGCGAAACAGTTCACCTGGTCAGCTATACATTTCTAAAGCGGACAAAGTCGCGGGCAAAAACTAGGTGTCTATAATGAAAGAGTTCAACCATTACAATCATAGTGTAACAGTTGGCAGACCCTGGCTAAAGCTGGGAAACTGCCAGGAAGAAGAGAATCATAGTATGTAACAGCTTTAAAATATCATTACAAGTCGACTGGAACATAAAAAACATATAGCAAGTTTAGTAAAAGCTTGTAAATGGCTTAGCTCATTTCCTGATGCATATGGATAAGCTTATAAATGTATTAATAACACTATTTAGGTAAAAAGACGAAAGAACCTGTTGCTTTTTACCTTATTTACTGTTTATAAACAAAAATTAAGTTTTATTACAATGATTATAACTTAATGTTTATATTACAAAAGCGTTATTTATTAAGTAATTAATTAAGTACAGCTTCGCTCGCGTGGAGTTCGGTTATATCGCGTTTCCAAGAGAACCTTTCAAAAGTCTGGAATAAAAACTATCCTATGTTCTTTCTCAAGCTCAGCTCTATCTCTGTACTAAATTTCATTAAAATCAGTTTAATGGTTTAGGCGTGAAAGCGTAACAGACAAACAGACAGAGTTACTTTCGCATTTATAGTATTAGTCGGGATTGCTTATTTACTTTTTATAAGTATAATCTTAACCCTTTATAACTAAGTACGAGTTTGCATTGTCATTCATCACACTACATACTTAGAGTTTCGCGTTTCTAGTTCAATAATGTATATTATAATTTATGAGAATATATGTATGATACTATGTCCTGTTAATATTATTATATGTTTTAAGACAAATCCTCTCATCATTCAATATATTCACCGTGCGTGTGTCGGGTCCATCGCTGTAGTGAGAGGAGCTTCAACAGTGACTGGGACTTGTGACCCAGGTGTAGGTTTAACATATATAGAGAGACGAAACCTCTCATCATTCAATGTATTCACGGTGCGTGTGTCGGGTCCATCGCTGTAGTGAGAGGAGCTTCAACAGTGACTGGGACTTGTGACCCAGGTGTAGGTTTAACATATATAGAGAGACGAAACCTCTCATCATTCAATGTATTCACGGTGCGTGTGTCGGGTCCATCGCTGTAGTGAGAGGAGCTTCAACAGTGACTGGGACTTGTGACCCAGGTGTAGGTTTAACATATATAGAGAGACGAAACCTCTCATCATTCAATGTATTCACGGTGCGTGTGTCGGGTCCATCGTTGTAGTGAGAGGAGCTTCAACAGTGACTGGGACTTGTGACCCAGGTGTAGGTTTAACATATATAGAGAGACGAAACCTCTCATCATTCAATGTATTCACGGTGCGTGTGTCGGGTCCATCGTTGTAGTGAGAGGAGCTTCAACAGTGACTGGGACTTGTGACCCAGGTGTAGGTTTAACATATATAGAGAGACGAAACCTCTCATCATTCAATGTATTCACGGTGCGTGTGTCGGGTCCATCGCTGTAGTGAGAGGAGCTTCAACAGTGACTGGGACTTGTGACCCAGGTGTAGGTTTAACATATATAGAGAGACGAAACCTCTCATCATTCAATGTATTCACGGTGCGTGTGTCGGGTCCATCGTTGTAGTGAGAGGAGCTTCAACAGTGACTGGGACTTGTGACCCAGGTGTAGGTTTAACATATATAGAGAGACGAAACCTCTCATCATTCAATGTATTCACGGTGCGTGTGTCGGGTCCATCGTTGTAGTGAGAGGAGCTTCAACAGTGACTGGGACTTGTGACCCAGGTGTAGGTTTAACATATATAGAGAGACGAAACCTCTCATCATTCAATGTATTCACGGTGCGTGTGTCGGGTCCATCGTTGTAGTGAGAGGAGCTTCAACAGTGACTGGGACTTGTGACCCAGGTGTAGGTTTAACATATATAGAGAGACGAAACCTCTCATCATTCAATGTATTCACGGTGCGTGTGTCGGGTCCATCGTTGTAGTGAGAGGAGCTTCAACAGTGACTGGGACTTGTGACCCAGGTGTAGGTTTAACATATATAGAGAGACGAAACCTCTCATCATTCAATGTATTCACGGTGCGTGTGTCGGGTCCATCGTTGTAGTGAGAGGAGCTTCAACAGTGACTGGGACTTGTGACCCAGGTGTAGGTTTAACATATATAGAGAGACGAAACCTCTCATCATTCAATGTATTCACGGTGCGTGTGTCGGGTCCATCGTTGTAGTGAGAGGAGCTTCAACAGTGACTGGGACTTGTGACCCAGGTGTAGGTTTAACATATATAGAGAGACGAAACCTCTCATCATTCAATGTATTCACGGTGCGTGTGTCGGGTCCATCGTTGTAGTGAGAGGAGCTTCAACAGTGACTGGGACTTGTGACCCAGGTGTAGGTTTAACATATATAGAGAGACGAAACCTCTCATCATTCAATGTATTCACGGTGCGTGTGTCGGGTCCATCGTTGTAGTGAGAGGAGCTTCAACAGTGACTGGGACTTGTGACCCAGGTGTAGGTTTAACATATATAGAGAGACGAAACCTCTCATCATTCAATGTATTCACGGTGCGTGTGTCGGGTCCATCGTTGTAGTGAGAGGAGCTTCAACAGTGACTGGGACTTGTGACCCAGGTGTAGGTTTAACATATATAGAGAGACGAAACCTCTCATCATTCAATGTATTCACGGTGCGTGTGTCGG